GTGTGTGTGTGTGTGTGTGTGTGGTGTGGTGTGGTGTGTGTGTGTGTGTGTGTGTGTGTGTGTGTGTGTGTGTGTGTGTGTGTGTGTGTGTGTGTGTGTGTGTGTGTGTGTGCTCTGACGTGCCTTCTGACCATATGTCCTGCGCTCACTTGTCTCTATTTTGTTGCTTGCGAATACCAGATTCAAGGTGGCATACCCGTACCTGCCATACTTCTTCATCAAAGTGAAGGTGTGTCTACCTTGCTCGCTTCTGTGATGTGGTGATGCAGTGGCTCAGGCGACGCCATTGTCGCCTTCTCTTGCTGCATTCTGCTGTCAACACATGAATTCACACACACACACACGCACAAATACACACACACACGTGTTCTCGCGTGCAGTCCAACACGGCCATTGAGGTGGAACAGTATTTGCGTCGCAAGTTTGACGCAAAGCTGGCAAGCCTCGACAGAATCGACAAGGTGCGTGTGCATGTGTGTGCGCGTTGGCATTTCACTGATGTTGGGTCCAATTCATTCACTCCCTGCCTCACTCTTTCCCTCACACACACACACACGCTCACACACACACACTCTCACTCTCACTCACTCACTCTCTCTCTCTCTCTCTCTCTCTCTCTCTCTCTCTCTCTCAAAATCGTAACGCCGACACCTCGTTTGCCCCTCCGTGTTCCGTCCATGTGTTTTGGTATGGTTCACAGGAGGATCTGTCTCTGCCAAACCACCTCGTCGGGCTGAGGCAGCTGTACTTGAAGTTGAGTTTCCTCAACGTCCACGACCTCATGCACGTCAAGTCCAAACTCATGCCCCGCATCCGGAAGAACCAGCAGCAGGCGGTGTGTTGTTGCTTGCTGATTGTGCTGATTGTGTTGTTGTTTGTTGTTCATTGTGTTGTTGCTTGCTGGTGGTGTTGTTGATGGGTGGGCATGTGTGTCACGTTACAGCTATCGCTGTGCTTTTTCCACCCTTGATTGCGCTGTGCCACTATTGTTCACCACCACTCTCACCATCATCTCGATGCAATGTCTTCCTGTGTTGCGCTTCTCAGAAGGAGAGCAGGTATTCAAGTGCGGCCCTTGACACAGCAGCCATCGCTCGCACACGGTACGGCGGCGCGCGCGTGCGTGTGTTCATGCGCATGCACATGTTCTCGTTGCCTTGGCTGTTGTGCTGCGAACGGTGGAACACCGCCAGGGCTTGTAACTTTGTTTTGTTTAGCCCACACTCAAGATGCACCTATGGTGTCTTTCCATGCACAACAAACAAATACATACAAAACACACACACACACACACTCTCTCTCTCTCCCTGTGTGCAGGCGCCACGGCCATGACAGCGACGACGACGATGATGACGGTGGTGCACAGACGGACACGAACGCGCGCGTGCACTCGGACGATGTACTCGACAACATCGTCGACATCAGGTGGGCCGGACGAATCCGTGTTGAAGGACGGAGATGCAGGTGGTGACCACGGAGTGGTCATACTCACATGCACATGGCGATGACACGCACACACACACACACACACACACACACACACACACACACACACACACACACACACACACACACGCACACACACACACACACGCGCGCGCGCACGTTCTCATCTGTCGAATGAACCGGGTATTGACGATTGCAGGGAGTACGATGTGCCATACCACATGCGCGTGTCGATCGACAACAAGATTGCGTGTGGCAAATGGTACGACGCAGCCATCACGGGGAACCAGGTCCTCATCACAGGTGGGACTTCACACAAGTACCGTGTTGTTGGTGGACGTATGTGTCGCACACGCAGCAAGGCCTCTATTCTATTCGTATGGTGTTCAGTATTGTTTGTTGTCTTCCTCCTCCTCATCACCACCATCACCACCACCACTGTTCATTGTGCAGAGCGAGCTGACAAGTTGCTTCGTCCGGATCCAATTGTGCTCGCGTGGGACATTGAGACAACAAAGCTTCCCCTCAAGTTCCCAGACATGGAGACAGACCAGGTGTGGAGCTGGTGTTGTTGGTAGTCCGTGTTGTGGTTGTGCGTGCAACCGTGTTTTGCAAGTGTGTACATGCGTTTGCTAGTAATTGTGTACAGGCGTGTGCAAGTGATGGGTGATTGTGTTTGGTTTTTGTTTTTTTCATCTGCGTGTGCTTTTCATTGCACGCTGGATTCGGTACATGCACACGTGCCTGTGTCGTGTGCGTGTGCGTGATATGTACGCCTCGTGTCATACAAACTCCCATTTCACACGTCTCTCTCGGCCGTCATATCGCCACGTATTGCAGATTATGATGATTTCGTACATGATTGACGGTCAGGGCTATCTCATCATCAACCGTGAAATCGTCTCAGAGGTTTGTCAAGTTTGTCATTCGTGTGGACGATCAAAGCAGGAGGAGCGAGACTTCGTGTTATTTGCACTCACCGATCACACGTGCAAAACTCACCCACGACGTGCTCTCTCTCAAATGCACACACACACACACATAACGTACAATCGTCCCTCGATCTCGTTCTCCTCCTCCCACTTGCACGCCGTCACCCGCTTTTGCGCCCACAACACGCGCACATCCACACATACCAGGACATTGAGGACTTTGAGTACACGCCCAAGCCTGAGTTTCCCGGACCGTTTACAGTCATGAACGAGCAGGACGAACACGCCACCATTTCGCGCTTCTTCCAGCACATTCGCGATGTGCGCCCGCACATTATGGCGACGTATAACGGTGACTTCTTCGATTGGCCATTTCTTGAGCGCCGCGCTGAGATTCTCGGTGCGTCCCAGGGGTTTTGCGGCTGGTTGTAGTTATGTGATGCTGTGGTTGTAGTCATGTGTGTGTGTGTGTGATTCCGTTGGCTGTTCTGCACAATCCCTCTACTCACCACCACGATCATCATCACCACCAGGGATGAACATGTTCCAGGAGATTGGGTATCGTCCAGACAACCAGGGCGAGTACAAGGCGCGGTTCGCCCCGCACATGGACTGCTTCAGGTGAGCACTCTTGCTGTGTACTTGTAGGACAGCTGTTGCTTGTAACAGCAGCAGCAACAGCAACAACAGCAGCAGCAACAGCAGCAGCAGCAGCAGCAACAGCAGCAGTAGCAACACACATACACACCCGTACTTTCTCGCCCTTGCTCCCTCGGGCACTCACTCAACCCTACAACAACCTCCACCACACCTTGTCTCGTACAGGTGGGTGAAGCGCGACTCGTATCTGCCCGTCGGCAGTCAGGGTCTCAAGGCCGTCACGCGCGCAAAGCTCAGGTAGGGGTGAAGAACAGGTCAAGATCAAGTTGAGACGGATGTCGTGGTGGCGACGGGGAGGGCGCTGTCTGTCTGGAGTGGAGCACACTTGCACGCACACACACACACGCTCACACACACACGCTCACACACACACGCTCACACACACACACACACACACACACACACACACACACACACACACACTCATTCACTCACTCACCCACACTCACTCACACACACGACCCCCACCCATGCCAGGTATGACCCACTTGAGATCCACTACGAGGAGATTTGTCGGATGGCGGCAGAGGAACCACAGCAGCTGGCAAACTACTCGGTCTCAGACGCCGTCGCAACATACTACCTCTACATGAAGTCAGCGCTTGTATTGTCATGCATGTGCGTGTGGGGGCGAGCGTGTGTATGTGCGAGTATGTGTGTCGTTGATTGTGTGCATGTGCGCCAAGTTTCATCAAAGTGCTCGTTTCTGTTCACTCACCCGGTGGCAGACACTAAACGCAAGCTCACACACACACACACTCACACACGCACACACACACACACTCGCACTCACACTCACACACACTCACTCACTCACACACGCACATCACCCTCAAGGTATGTGAACCCGTTTATCTTTGCGCTGTGCACGATCATCCCACTGGGGCCAGACGACGTCTTGCGGAAGGGCTCGGGCACGCTGTGCGAGTCACTGCTCATGTTCAACGCGTACCACGCCAACATCATCATGCCAAACAAGAAGCAGGCAGAGCTCAACAAGGTGCAGCGCACAGCTTGGGTGTCATATTGTGTGTGTGTGTGTGCGTTTATGTGTTTGTATGTGAGGGAACGTGAACAACGGTGTGTTTCATGTAGTGGTCACGTTCGTGCAAGGCGTCTCTCGCTACGAGCGCACACACATGCCCACGTAATGCCACTCTTATGCATACTCATCCAACAACAACAACAACAACAACAACAACAACAACAACAACAACAACAACAACAACAACAACAACAACAACAACAACAACCACCACCACCACCACCACCACCACCACCACCACCACCACCACCACCGCGACGAATGACAGCTGCACGGCGGGCGACTGCTTGACAGCGAGACGTACATTGGCGGGCACGTGGAGGCGCTCGAGTCTGGTGTGTTCCGCAGCGACATCCCGTGCCGTTTCCGCATCGTCCCGTCCGCCGTGCAGACGCTCATTGACAACCTCGACAACACGCTTCGCTACGCCATTGAGGTGGAGGAGAAGAGAGACTTCTCAACCATCACCAACTACGAAGAGGTCAAGGCGGAGATTGTTCGCCGGCTGGAGGACCTGCGTGATAACCCGTATCGCCAGGAGGTGCCGCTCATCTATCACTTGGATGTGGCTGCCATGTATCCAAACATCATCCTCACCAACCGCCTCCAGCCGCCGGCAATGGTGGACGAGGCCATGTGCGCTGCCTGCTCCTTCAACAAGCCCGGCGCAAACTGTCAGGTATGTGCGTGGCTGTGAGTGGCTGTGTGTGGGTGTGTGTGGGTGTGTGTGGGTGTGCGTGGCTGCATGTGTGTGGTTGCACGCGCCTGCGCTTACTTTGCGCTTGCTCTGCTATGGCGCCCACTCCTTTTACACCCCAAATTGTGGCATCTCACCCTCCGTCTCATGCATCCCAAACATCATCACCATCATCACCATCATCACCATGACCGTTTGCAGCGGAAGATGCCGTGGAAATGGCGCGGCGAGGTGTCGCCGGCGTCGCGCAACGAATACGAGTCGATCAAGGCGCAGCTCGAGTCTGAGGTCTTCCCGGGCGAGAATGAAGGTGAGGGCAATGATGGCTGTGTTATGATGATGACGATGATTACGATGACTGCAGTGCTGGCGTTGCTGTGTTGTACACGCCGTAGTGGTGCTTGAGAGGCGTCATGAAGGATCTCAGTAAGCCATTGGCTCACATATCACAAATCACCACCATCACCACCACCAGGAGACCCGCCACGCCCGTTCCATGACCTGACGCCGGACGACCAGGCCGCACTGATTAAGAAGCGCCTGCACGCGTACGCGCGCCGCGTCTACAAGAAGACGCACATCACCACCGTACGTGCTGCAGTCTGCTGCTGTTGTTCAGTCGGCTGCTGCATCTGCTGTTGCATCTGCTGCTGCCGTGGTGTGCGGTGAAGTGTGTTCAGGAGAGACCTTTGCGCTGGTGATGGCGGTGTAGCTGAAAGACAAAACGCACCTCTGACAACACGTTGCGTGTTTTTGCACAGGTGGAGGACCGCACGGCGACGGTGTGCCAGCGCGAAAACCCGTTTTACATCAACACCGTCCGCAACTTCCGTGACAGGCGCTATGTTTTCAAGGGCAAGCTGAAGGAGGCGAAGAAGACGTTTGAGAAGGTGCGCAGCCCGTGCGCGCGTCTTTTGTCGACCCTTGCATATCACATTCGCCCACCACACGCGCACACACGCGCTCACGTAAAACCACACGCACACGTAAAAGCACACACACGCACACACGCACAAGCACACACACGCACACGTCACATGTCATACGCCTCACTTATCCTCATTTGTTCGTACTTCTTAAATCGTAATGCAGGTGCAAGAGACGGGCGATCCCGTGAAGATCAAGGAGACGTCCAACCTGGTTGTGCTGTACGACTCGCTCCAACTTGCGCACAAATGCATTCTAAACTCGTTTTACGGGTATGTGATGCGTAAAGGGGCGCGCTGGTACAGCATGGAGATGGCCGGCATCGTCTGCCTCACAGGCGCAAACATCATCACCAGGTCAGTGGGAGCTCTGTACTTTTAGGCGTGCGTGCGTGTGTGTGTGTGCGTGTGCTTGTGTGTGTGTGTGTGTGTGCGTGTGCTTGTGCTTGTGTGTGTGTGTGTGTGTGTGTGCGTGTGCGAGCTCTTACGTGTGGGCGTGCGTGTGCTTGTGTGTGTGTGTGTGTGTGTGTGTGTGTGTGTGTGTGTGTGTGTGTGTGTGTGTGTGTGTGTGTGTGTGTGTGTGTGCTTGTATGTCTTTGCCCATTTGTCTATGCTTTGAATGGTCATGAACGCCCAAAATATACACTCTCTCTTTCTCATCCTCACCCATCAACCGTCATGTTTCGACCCCTGTCTTCAGGGCGCGTGAGATTGTTGAGCAGCTCGGCCGGCCGCTCGAACTCGACACAGACGGCATCTGGTGCTGTCTCCCGGGCAGGTGCGAAGGTGTTAATGTGCGGTGGCGTTGTGGTACTCTGTGATGACTGATGCACACACGCAAACACACACATGCACACACACACACAACCACACAACCACACAACCACTCGGCGCAACAGAGAAAGCGGACACAATGAAGCAGCAGCGACTGACCGACATCTTCCAAGCGAGAGCCAAGCCCGCCGACACAGCAGCGCCGCCAGCATCGTCATCCCCACAGATTGCGGACATGGAGGTGCGGTGTGATGTGATGACTGCTCGGAGCTTGCAGTGGTGCCATTGTTCATGTTAACAGTGCTCGGTGTTGGTTTTTGGTGAAAGCGTGATGAACATACGGGCACAACTGCTTCCCAAATGCACATGCATGTTGTGCCTCTTATTGGTGGTTTGTTGTCCTTCTTCCTCATCCCCCCTTCACAATGTCATCGCCGGTAGCTACACGCTCACACACACACACACACACACACACACACACACACACACACACACACACACACACACACGCACACGCTCACACACACACACACTCACTCACGCACACACACTCACGCGCGCATCATCCATGACCTCCCGTCACAACACCAACCACCAGGACCAGTTTTCTGGTCGCAGCAGCAGCAGCAGTGGTGGTGGTGGTGGCGGGAGCAGCATGCCAAGGAAGCAGGCAACCATCACCATCCACCGCCGCGTCAAGGGGAAGGACGGCCGGAACAAGGTCATGTCGGAGGAGGTGACAACCCAGCACTGGCGGGAAGCTCTTGGGCCTCCACCCAACCCAAAGGACGACTTTGGCGCTTGGCTGCGGTACCAGAAGAAGAAATGGCGAATCCAGCGCACACAGCGTAACCTGCGCAAGCAAATGGTACAGTCATGAGTTTGCACAAAGTGCATGTGTATGCAAGTATGTGTGTGTGTGCGAGTGAGTGTGTGAGTGTGTGTGTCTGTCTGTGTGTGTGTGTGTGTGTGTGTGTGTGTGGCCTGCATTTGTGGTCGCATCGGTTTACATGTGGCACATGTCCATGAGCCGTCATCATTCTCATCTCACACGGCTGTGCCACCCCATACCTCACACAGGGCGTGAGTGCGGACACAGTGCGTGCATTTGGCGCATCATCCCAAACACCCGAAAATCACCACAGCAGCGGCGGCGGCAGTGTTGGCGGTGGCATGCGCATGGGGAAACGCCTGTTGAACATGGCGCAGTTTCTGCGGCAGAAGCAAGGCAACCTCAACTCCACGCATTGGGAAATCATCCAGATTGCTGAAACACGAGAGCCAGGCATTATGAAAGTCTGGTGCATGGTTGCAGGCGACCTCCACTGCATGCGTATGGTGCGTTGCTGTGCTTGTGTTGTCGTTGTTGTTAGCCATGTTGGCGATGATGTGCATTGTTCTGTGTGTGTGTGTGTGTGTTTGGAAGGGGAGGTTGACTTTGTGTGTGTGTGTGTGTGTGTGTGTGTGTGTGTGTGTGTGTGTGTGTGTGTGTGTGTGTGTGTGTGCGTGCGTGTGTGTGTGTGTGTGTGTGTGTGTGTGTGTGTGTGTGTGTGTGTGTGTGTGTGTGTGTGAAGTGAAGTGAAGACGGTGCGCTGTTGCGGTGGACGTCAAGAACAACCAACTCCCCTCATCCTCACTCTCCCTGCCCCCTTCCTCCGCGTTTGTCGCGGTATCAGAATGTTCCCCGTCGATTCTACGTCAATCTCCGCACACCAGACACTTCTGGCACACGAGAACGCGTCAACAAGATTCTCCCGAGGTGAGCATGTGTGAGAGAGAGAGTGTGTGTGTGTATGTGTGCATCCTTGTCAACCTAAACTGCATATTCCATGATGTCTCCACCAACACACCATCGTGTCATCCTCACATTCTCTTCTTATCACCAGACACCACAAGTGCTACCACCTGTACGAGTTTCGCATGCGCGAGCGGGAATTTCTGCAGCGGCAGCGTGTTCTCGCCGCAAAACTGTCGCACCCGGACATCATTGGCGTGTACGAGCTCAACATCCCGCTCCTCTGGCAGGCCGTCGTGCAGCTGGGATGCGTGGCCACGCTCAGGAAAACGGTGCGGCGTTGGCGCTGGTGTGTGCAAGGGAGCGCAATGGTGGTTGAAATAATTTTGTCCGCGCTACCCATGTATCATCACAACTCCTCACACACAACGGATACACATGCACACATATGCATGCACACGCACATGCACACACACACACACACATGCACACACACACACACACAGCGTGCCCAAGCGCACAAGCCTGGGGAGGACTTTGACATGGACGATTTGCAGAGCAAGACGGTGACATCATGCCCGTACCTCCATGAACCCCTGAACCATGTGTTCCTCTTCCACAGCTACACGGGCACGCGCGCGGTGTTTGCGCTCTTTGTGCGGCACCTTGGCCGTGCGACGGTGGTCGTTGTCGACCCGGGCAACAACAAGGATGCCATTCCAAACCTGCGCAAGATGTGGCGGGAGTGTGCGGCGGAGCAAACGCGGGACATTGCGCAACATCGCGAGGGATGGACGGAGGAGGAGTTGCGGAGCTTTGTTCCACAGGACTCTGTCAGCTTTGATGTGCAAGTTGTCACAAGCAACGCGCGCGCCTATAGCGCTCTATCCGAGGTCTGTCGCTGAGTGAAATGAGCACAACGCTTTGTGCGTGTGCGTGTGTGTGTGCGTGTGTGCACTGTATGTGTGCACGTGTGTGTGTTGTGAGCGTGTATTGAACGTGAGTGTTGTGCTTGTAGGAGAGGCGCTTCACCTTCGCATCCCCGACGCACTGGCACACAATCACACGTGTTCACTCGATGCCGTGCTGCTGCATCGTTGGGGAAAACAGGCTCTGGAGGACTATCGGGAGGGTCGCCATGGTCCAACCACAGTCATTGCGCAATCGCCACTGCGACTCGACACCCTCAGAGCCGACATGTAAGGGGGAGGGGCCCCAAGATGATCCTTGCTTTGCTTGATTGCACGAGGGAGAGGGGGAGAGGAGAGTGTCAGTGAGGTCATGGTGCAGTGTTCACGTGAAATTATGTCTTGTTTCTCAAGCCGCTCACTGCCGGTTCCGTGTGAACTGGTATCTCATCATCATTATGATTATTACCATCATCTCCATCACCACCACAGCCCTGCGTTGGAGGAGTACCCTGTTGTGACGGCGCCGTCGCCATCGGGCGTCAACCAGTACGCAGCGCTCAACTGGCAGAAGCAAGCCTTGCACGACATGTTGGCACACTGCTGCATGTTCCCACGCTGGTTTGCAATCACCCTAAAGGTTGCACGCTACGCGCATGTCCCCATCGGCAACCTCCCGGCAGACCACCACCTCTTCATCTGCGATGTGTTCTACGCACGCCAGCTCAGGTGCGAAAGTGTTCGGTGTCGAGTGTGCATGTGTGTGTGAGAGAGTGAACGTGTATCTGCGCTCTTGCCCTGTGTTGACTAGGCGTGCATCTTACTTCACACACACTGGCACACACACGCACACACACACACACACCACCACCACCACCACCACCACCACACACACACACACACACACCACCACCACCACCACCACCACACACACACACACACACACACACACACCAACTCACCACGAACGCCGCCTGGCTTCATGGCCGCAGGAAGCAAAACTTCCTCCTGTGGGCGTCGCCGTCCCACCGCCCTGATCTCGGCGGAAAAGTGAGTGCTCGCACACGTGTACAGATTCAGGTGCATGCTGTGAGCTATCCTTTTCTATGACAGCACCGCTCACACTTGCAACACTCGTGTGTGTGCATGCGTGTGCGTGTGTATGCGTGTGTGCAGGAGGAGGATGACAACCGCCTGATGAGTGACGACTCGGAGACGCACTGGGAGATCAACAACCCCGGCGTGTACAGCACGGCGTGTGTTGACATTACCCTCAGCAGTCTGCCCATGGCCGCTGTGCTCTACGCCGACGACATCCACGAGACCGAAAGCAAGTCGTGTGTGTGTGTGTGTGTGTGCGTGCGTGTGCGTGTGCGTGTGCGTGTGCGTGTACGTATGTGTCCGTGCGTGCGTCCGTGTGTATGCTTGTGTGTGTGCGTATGTGTCCGTGCGTGTGTCCGTGCGTCTGCATGCTGGTAGTTTCGCGTGTGGCTGCGAGCTACCCCCCCCCCTTATATAACCATGCTCAACACAACAACAACACAACAGACGGTGCGTCGATGATCGCGACGTTTGACAGCAACCCAAAGTCGTCACTGGAGGAAATGGTTCAGGAGAAGACGGGATTTGAGCTCACTGTCTTTGACGAGAGCGCTCAGTGCATGCCCGCATTCAAGGTGTTGCGTCTCATGGTAAGTCGATGTGTGTTGTGCTGTGCGTGCGTGTGTGTGTATTCGCATGTATATGTGCATGTGTGTCTGGAGTTGTAAGCAGTGTTTACACACACTCACACACACACTCACTCACACACTCACACACTCACTCTCTCTCTGTGGCTGTGTGTCTGACACATTCATTATTCTGTGCATCGTTGCAGCTCAACACATGGTTGAAGGAAGTGATTCGATTCGGAAACACACACGCAGATGAGCAGCTCGTTCACTTCTTCAGGTCTGTGCATGTGTTATACGTGTGTGTCACGTGTGCGCACATGTGCTTCTCATTCGTTGTGGTAGTGTTCGTCGCAAGTGAGTGAGCCTGATGTTAAACGTCACAGCACCTCGCGTTACACCAACGTCACTCACCACCACACCCTTCCTCCCTCGCTCAATCCTTATTCGCCCTTCCATCAGGTGGCTCAAGTCGCCCGATTCGCTGCTGTATGATCCGGCGATGCTCCGGCTCGTCCGCGGTCTCATGAAGAAGCTCTTTCTTCGTCTCATCTCGGAACTCCGCAAACTCGGCAGTCAGATTGTCTTTGCCAACTTTGCGCGGCTGCTAATCAAGTGAGACATGCGCTTGTTTGTTTGTTTGTTTGTGTGCTTGTTTGCGTGCTTGTTTGTGTGCTTGTTTGTGTGCTTGTTTGTGTGTTGCTGTGCTGTGTTGCTGTGCTGTGTTGTGTTTGTTTGTGTGTTGCTGTGTTGTGTTATGTCGTGTCGTGTTGTGTTTGTTTGTGTGTTGCTGTGTTGTGTTGTGTTGGATTGTACTGTCCAGTTCGTCCCTTGCGACCACTCTTCTCACCACAAGGCACAACAAACCCCTGGCACATCAATCACCACAGGACGGACAAGACGAATGTGGAGGATGCCACAGCTTACACCAACTTCATCCTCAAGGTCATCCGTGAGCAGGAGGTGTTCCGCATCGTCTACTTGCAGCCGGTAAGGATCAATGGCGCGTAGTCAACACGTTTGCATGGACTCGCACCTCACGCACTGCATTCATTGTTCGGCTCCATCACCACCCTCATTATCATCACCACGGCCACGGCCATGTGAACCACCTCAACCTCACACGTCTGCCCCCCCCCACCTCGAACTCTTCCACCTGTGCGCCCGCGTTTGTTGTGCCAGACCATGGTGTGGGACTATCTTGTGTGGATGGACGTGAACAACTATGGCGGCATTGACGAGGAGTCGACACCGTTCCACACGGATTCGCAGCGCATTGTGGGCAAAACCTCACCCAAGAAGGCCATCAAAGACAAGGACCACCCAGCAAAGCGGCACAAGCGGTAGGCAACACGTGCGTGTGTGTGGGTGTGGGTGGGTGGGTGCAAGTGTGTGTGTGTGTGTGTGTGTGATGGATGTTGATTTACATGTGTATGATGATGATGAGCCATTTGTTGTCTCTTCATTGTTCATTCTTGCCTCCTTCTCACACACGACACACGCACGACGTACCCACGCACACGACACACACCCACAACGCATACACAATGCATACACAACGCTGACACATGCATGGCCGCATGGCAGACGTGAGCGCATGGGCAGCGGCAGTGACGATGAAGAAGAGTCGTCCCAGTCCGTGCACGGCGATTTGTCGCTGTTTGAGGACGGTGAACATGCGCGCGACAACGAAGAAGATGGCGGTGAGGATGAGAGTGACATGTCTCTGTCGCAGCTGCAGCCGGGCCAGCCCATGCCACACGTGAACGTGGAGACGCACTGGAACATTGCGGCATTCTTGCCAAAGATGTGCCAGGAGGTGTTTGAGGAGATTGTTGGGCGGTGGATTCTGCTGTGCTATAACGCCAAGGTCGAGGCTCGTCGCAGGCGCGGTGGCATGGGGCTCACCCCTCTCAAGGAGCAGTAAGTGCTGAGTTTTGGTGTGCTACTTGTGATGCGTGTGGTGGCATGCATGTGTGACATGCATGTGTGTGTGTGTGTGTGTTTCCATCGATGTTACCACACGTTCGCCTGTTGCTTTTCACTTGCTCTTGATGTGGTTACACCCATCCAGCCAGCATCCTCACAACCGTATTCATGTGTGTGTGTGTGTGTGTGTGTGTGTGTGTGTGTGCAGGACAACCGAGGAGATTGCGCTGGCGAAGAAGCAGGCCTACCAGCAAATTAAGGAAACGCTCTCGGAGATGCTGATGAAGGCGGTGGCATTTGTCAACCAGAACCTGCCCGGTGATGCGCGTGCGCAGGGACAGTCGGCCGATTTCCCAATGCTCCCTGGATCGCATCTCCCGCTCAAACACCCGGCGCTTGAGCTCACCAAGTCCATCTGCCACGTCCTCATGCTCGACAAGGTGTGTGGGTGTGGGTGTGCTTGTATTTGCGTCTGTCTGTGTTTGTTTGTGTTTGCGTTTGTGTTTGTATCTGTGTTTGCGTTTGTGTTTGTATCTGTGTCTGTGTTTGTGTTTGTATCTGTGTCTGTGTTTGTGTTTGCGTTGGTGTGTGTGTTGGAGTGTGCATTGATCTCCTGCCTTGGTATGTGAGCGAGCACCGCGGCTCCACGCGCGTCAGCAAGCTTCTTCTCCAATTACTCACGCCCACCACCACCACAACAACAACAACAACAACAACAACAACAACAACAACAACAACAACAACAACAACAACAACAACAACAACAACAACAACAACAACAACAACAACAACAACAACAACAACAACAACGACAACAACAACAACAACAACAACAACAACAACAACAACAACAACAACAACAACAATAACGCAACAACAACAACAACAATAACGCAACAGTCGCACGCATCCGACATGGCCCGTCTCAAGCGCAATCTGCTCCAGCTCATCTCTGTGCGTGAATTCTCCTCGGAGGCCAAGTTCAAGGACCCCTGCCTGAGCTTTGTGCTGAGCGATTTCGTGTGCACGTTCTGCAACACGTACCGTGACCTTGATCTCTGCCGTGACTCGACGCTCAGCACCAATGACGACGGCACAACGGTGAGACATGGATGGCGGTGGTGACGGCATGAGTGGTGGTGATGGTGAGCGCGTCATGGCGTG